AAAAAAAAAAAAAGACTTTTATTCTGTTTCATCTACTTCGATAAAGATATCACTAAAGAAATATTCAGAGACTGTGGTTGGCTCCTCTTCAGGTCCCCGGTTTTGGCCACTTTTACATTCTTCTTTTGGTAAGGGAGGATCACAAGAAACCTAAAAAGATAGTATGAATAAGTATGCAATATAACATTTATATATTGATAGTGGTCATCTAAATTGCTATCTCTTTGAAAAGCAATATAATGATAAATATTAAGGGCTTTAAATATGTTCATACTTTTTGACCCAATAATTTCATTTCTGTGCTGTTATATTAGGGAAATAATACTAAACAGAGTAAGAATTTTATGAGTAAGATAACCTTTGAAGCATTAGTTAAAATAATAAAACTGGACACAACAAACACACAACAGTGGGCATGATTAGATTAATTACAGTGTACACACGATCCATTATTTTACCCTAATTCCCATGAAAAAATTTTAATACGGAAAAGCATAACATCAAATCTATTATGTAACATTTTAATAATCTGCATAAGAATACAGACCCACAAAACAGAACAGTACCCCAAGGCAACTACAAATTAAAGCAATCCTATCGGGGTGCCTGGGTGGCTCAGTGGGTTAAGCTTCTGCCTTCGGCTCAGGTCATGATCCCAGGGTCCTGGGATCAAGCCCCGCATCAGGCTCCCTGCTCAGTAGAAAGCCTGCTTCTCCCTCTCCCACTCCCCCTGCTTGTGTTCCCTCTCTAGCTTTCCTCTCTCTGTCAAATAAATAAATAAAATCTTAAAAAAAAAAAAAAAAGATTAATAGAAATTGCAGATATGAGAACAGTGAAAATGGAAGGGACAAAATTATCAAAAACAATAATTCAAGAACATTTCCCAGGCAAAATTATCAAAACAATAATACAAGAACATTTTCCAGAAGGGAAATAAATGAGTTTCCTTATTAAAAAGGTCCATTAAGTGTCCAACAGCATGAATGTAGGGGCAGGAAAGGAGGGCAGGCTTACACCAAAGCTCATTATTGTGCAGAATACCAGGTCAAAAACCTGTAAATAGGCAAGCCACATTCAGAGGATAGGGAATCAGAATGGCACCAAACTTAAAAACACTGAAAACTGGCAGACAATGGAGCATGCCTTCAAAATGATGTAAAAATTATTTTCAAATTATTCAGGAATTCTATTCATAGCCCCACTGAGAGTAGAATAAAGAAATTTCAGACACAAAGTTTTAAATAATGTTATCACCCATGTACCCTTTTGCAGTAAACAGTGGAAGATGTGCCTTCCAAATCAAATCAAGAAAGACAATGGCATGGGCTCAAGAAACAGAATCTAAACCAGGAAAGAGGAAGTTCACAGAGTAATGGCCGAGGGAAGTCTCATGTGGACAGCTGTACTGCACATAGAGATCTGTAAAGCCCCTAGTCCAGTTTACAACAGGAAGAGCGAGCTCCAGAAAGTTTTCCATGAAAAAAAAGAAAACACTTTATCTGATGGTTTGGCCATGTGGAAAATTATATGCAGAGGCATTTTACGCACTTGCTGGAGGGTGTGGAAAGTTAAAACAAAACCCAAAGCAAATGAAAAAGTGAAGCAATTAACTCCAAGAAAAACAAAAGCTTCTACCATGTCACCTTAGTACATAAAGTGGTACAGCACTGAATAATTACAATTAATGCAATAACAATACTAAATATGGACTAAACCTTATGATTAACGTATTAAGAGGGAAGCAAGGAGGGGAGTTTTAAGAAAGCTAATTTTTTTTTTTTTTTTAAGATTTTATTTACCTGGAGAGAGAGAGAGAGACAAGTAGGGTGAGCAACAGGCAGAGGGAGAAGGAGAGGCAGGCTCCTCACTGAGCGGGAAGCCCAAAGAGGGGCTTGATCCCAGGACCCTGGGATCATGACCTGAGCCCAAGGCAAATGCTTAACTGACTCAACCACCCAGGTGCCCCAAGAAAACTAGAATTCTTAAGTACCATGACAGAAAGTCAGTTAACAATGTCTAACATTGTAAATTCTGTAAATAACAGAATAACCATATTTAGAAATAGGTAGTAACAGAAGAAACAGCTTGTCTGAAAATATAGCACTACTTGACTTTTTAAGCCATGTATAATAATTTTTAAAAATATGAAATAATGCATACTAAAAGGTTAGTACTGTGTCTAGCATAAGAAATAGTAGCCTGTTGTTTTAAAAAAGTGAGTGTTTTTAAAAATCTGGGAGAGTAGAAATGAGGGTAAAAAAATAGAATGAGTTTAGTACATAACTCATGTGATGTGAAGTATTTTATCTTGCTATAGGTTGACCCTAAATTTAGCTTTGCATTGAAAAAGAAAATATTACAAGGATTCACACAGCCCATATTAAAAAAAAAAAAAAAAATCAGACCAGTTGAACAGAAGCCCAATTATTCCTGGCACTGAAGCCAAAGGAGAAATTCTCATAGGTAGGATTCTCATAGGTAGAATATTGGGTGATATGATTTCTTAAAACTCTGTAATATCATTACAGTAAAAATATGAATTTCTTTAGGCTTTTATTCTATTTCACATAATGTCTCTAAACACAAGCAGACAAACAAAGTAGGCAGTTCATATATATAGATAGCTCTTTGATGAAATGACCAAATTCAAGATAAAAATTCTGTCCTGGACTTCAGAAGTCCAGGATTATATTATGCACAGGACTAAAGTTTCCCATTTGTCTTTCTCTACAGAGAAAACCTGAAGTAGGAAGAAAAAAGAGTAAAAGAGATTGAGTTCTTATATCTAAAAATTCATTATATCAGGAATAAATGAACAAGAAAGCAACTCTTCACATGTCCTGAATGGGAGGGAGGGGGAAGTCTATTCTTTATTCTTACAAGATCAAAAAAATATCCTTCACAGCATGCATATAAGACAAAAGATTAATTCTTCCAGTTATATTTTTATAGAAGGAAGGAAGTATATGCTGTAGGTGAAAAACTGACAAGTTTTGGTTAAACAGTAATATCTTTAAGTCATTTGAAAAGAAAAAAACAAAAATAGTATAAAATAACTTTTATTTACATAATTTATATCTATAGAACATAACTGCTTTCTTTAGAACAAGAAAATTTACAAATGACAGATATTGCTTTTTTGTCAAAAACTCCTTCAAGCAAGAGAGTATACATGGTCACTTCTATTTCGAATAACATGGTGGTAAATAGTGGATATTCATATTTTTAACTGTGCCTTAATCATTTACTAACAATTAGGCTTTTAAAACCATCATGTTGACCACTTTCTAAGACATAAGTATTCAGGAAGAAAAGTCAAGAAAACAAAGACCACTATTCATACCACCTTTAAGATTTACAAAATAATTCTTCACAACATCATCTTTACATGAATATAAACAAAGGGTGTGACTAATTCTTTCCACCTTGTAAGGTAAATACAATGATTAAGTTTCTTACTTTCCCAGATTAGTTTTAAGGATGTAATAGTAGGATAATTTAGCTTGGCTGACTTGATTCTCTTACGCAATGAATGCCCAAAGATAAAATTATTTCATATATAGTAAGAAGTTATATCTTCCATAAAATGAATTCATTATAGATGAACAAGAGACAGATGTTAACAAAGTTAAAAAATAAATATTACACAAGGGATAAAATAATAGTTTAACTGTGGCAACCTAAGATCCAAAGTAACATTAATTAAATGAAAGAAACTTTCAGAATATGAGACTTTAAAAAATTTTATAAAAACAGGGCATTAAAATAGCAATGTGATTTACTACCATGATTTTTGTGACATATTAATCCCATGAAATAAATTAATGCATACCTATTGAGAATTTTCACTCAGATTTATAGATCCTCCTTTATGACAAAAAAGTTAAATTGTAAATTTCACTATAAAGCAATGAATAAGAAATGCTCTAATAGCAATTTTAGGATTATTGTAACACTTGCTGAGCCATATCCTATTCTACTAATGAACTTGAAATTTGGCCACTATTTTTTTCAATATATAAACACAATTATCTAGACATTAAAATATCTTCCCAGTTGAAATACTGATCATTTTGTAATGCAATCAACACAGTTTTATGATGCACAACTTACAACTTGAATGACAAATATGTATGTCGTAGATAAAACGTCAGCACCTGAAGGTAAGAAAATTACTGTCTAATGTAGGGGTCAAACGAAAAGCCCATTCCAGACATGTCAATCCCTTCAGTATTGTTTGTGGCTGTTTTCAGCAGCACTGAAACAGAAGAATTGAACAGTTGCCACAGGGGCCATGTGGCCCGCAAATTCAAGAATATTTTGCAGAAAATGTTTCTGACTCCTGCTCTGAGGCTTTTCAAATAAAAGAAGAAATCTGTTTTTGAGAAGTTTGATTTGAACCACCAAAGATCTGCTTGGGTGGATAATGGAATTACATATGTAAATAACAAAATTTCAAAATTAAAAACAACCCTTAAATTAATATTGATGATAATCACTGACTAAATAAAGTCTTATTATCTTATTTTCTGTTTTAACATCACAATTATGTTCTGTGCTTAAAGGCCTAAGTGTTCCTTAAGCAAAATTTAATGGGGGAAAAAACTAGCAAGAAATTAGTTTTTAAAAAAAGGAATGTGTGTGAGTGTGTACGTGTGTGTGTGTGTGTGTGTGTAAAAGGGACTGAATTTTGAATGTAAATCTCCCTCATAAATTAAGGGTTTTTTTCCCCATACAAATCCTGAGATTATCCAAAAAATAAGAAAAACAAGAACTTCACAGTACAAATTCAATATACTAAACTATGAGAAAAAAATGTATTCAAAACATATCTACTATCCAAATACTTTTAGTGATATAACTTTAAATATCTTTAAAATTAAAGAGGGAAATGGGACAAACATAAATTTGTCAATGTCTTCTTTACCCATAATCTGAGTGGTGAAAATAATTAAAACTGAGTATTCTTTTAAATAAAAAATTTAAAAATAAATAAACTTTTTGATGTTTCATCTTTATAAATAAGTTTAAATACTACTTGTTCAATTAGGACTAATGTTAACATCAACATGAAATTAGAAAAATACATATTTTCCAGTCAAATAGCTGATAATAGAAAAGTTTTTAACATTTACCATTCTAAAGTGGAG